AACAACCCCATCTCAAGAGCAAGCGAGTGAGGCAGCAGGCAGCTGCGAATGCATCATCTCGTGCCACTGCACTTTACTTACATACATACATATTTATGTAGAGTGATTTGTGGCACTAGCGTTAGCAGCACCAACCAGCACCAGCAGCTGAAGCGGCTGGTACTTAACGTGCACAAAAATTTATTTATTTATTTATTTATTTATTATTATTATTATCAACAAACAGGACGCTTACAGACTATACGACAAATATATACATAGAATAAGGGAAACCCTTATGACAAGTGCCTTATGAGTAAATTCTTAAAAGTAAACTGTGAGTAAGAAAAATCGAAGTCTAAAGATGAAGAATAAGCATTAAATTGGGAGAGAGTCCTCCTTAAAGGAGCATTCATACCATAAACAGTTTTAACAACACCCACAAAAAACAACTCATTACAACGAAGAATACGTGAGGAAACATTAAAACGAATTTTCATAAGGAGGTGCGAGCAATCTATAGAGCCTACAATTATGTCAAAGACAAAGCACATCGATAACAAAGTACGCATGGACTCTAAGGACATGAGATTTATCAACAAACAACGAGAACGATAGGACGGAATAGGGTCTACAAATTTCAACGGACGCAAAGCAAAGCGTATAAAATCCTCTGAACAGACTCCAATCTGTTCACATGAACTGTATGAAAAGGTCTCCAAACAAATACAGCGTATTCTAACCTCGACCGAACTAAAGACGAATACAACAGTTTGAGAGTATAAGGATCGGAAAATGACGAGCAGTTGCGACGAATAAAGGCCAACATCGCGAATAATTTAGAAACAATAAAGTTTATGTGGGTGGTGAAGGTGAGCTTGGAGTCAAAATAAACACCCAAGTCTTTAAAATCAGTAATTGATTTTAGCGGGACATTCGAAAAACAGTAAGAGGTTGGAACAATACTAATCACTTTTGCAAAAGAGGTATAATGACATTTACCAATATTGAGGGACAAACGATTACGCGCACACCAACAGTACAAATTATCAAGCTCACCCTGGAGAATCAATGAGTCTTCTCTATTTTTAATTTCATAGTATATCTTCAGGTCATCCGCATATAGAAGAAACTTACACTTAGAGAAACAGGAAGATATATCATTAATAAAGGTAACAAATAATAACGGACCTAAGACACTACCCTGGGGAACACCAGAGGAGGAGACAAAAGAATAAGACGATACATTATCAAAACGAACAACACAGCGTCTGTTATACAGATAGGATGTGATCCACTTCAGAAACTCTGAATGAAAGCCCAGGCCTTCAAGTTTAGCTATCAATATTCGATGAGGCATCCTGTCAAAAGCCTTAGAGAAATCGGTATATATAGCGTCAATTTGGAATCCCTTTTGAAAGGTTTCCAAACAGTCCTCTGTAAAAGCAGCTAAATTGATTAACGTAGATCTGCCCGGCACGAACCCATGTTGGCTGGGACATAATAAATGTTTAACAGCAAAGTAAATTTTTATTTTTACTATGGACTCAAACAGTTTTGAGACAGTGGTAAGCTTAGAAATCGGCCTATAATTCTCAATACAATTTTTGTTACCACTTTTAAGAATTGGCGTAATAAAAGTCAATTTCCAGTCATCGAGGAAAACTCCGGCAGATAGAGACATGTCAAAAATGTGCCTCAAAGGCGCAATTAGTGAAGGACAACTTTTAAATAAAATAACCGAGAGGCCGTCTACATCAGTGTTAGTGGATAGTTTAAGCTGGTTAATGCCATTAGCTACATCATCGTCTGTCAACTTTAATTTCCCGAAGTTAATGGGAGTATCTAAATTTGACAAAACATCTTCAGGAATAAAATCATTATCAGAATTACCAGAAATAAAGTTGGAAGAAAAAAAATCAGCAAAAAGATTAACAGCTTCGGAGATGGAGTTGGCTGACACCCCGTTAAGCTGGACCGATGCAGGTATAATAGAGCAATTTTTCTTTGATTTAATATAACTCCAGAAGAACTTGGGATTAGATTTAATATTGCTTTCTACGCCGCGAATATAATTCCTATACAAAGATTTATTGAGCCTGTTAAATTCAGCTCTATAAAACACGTAACGCTCACGCAAATTAACATCGTTGGAATACTTTTGTCTTTTGTAGAACTTATTCTTCTTATTCCTTATACGTTTAAGTTCTTTAGTAAACCATGGACGCTTAGCGGTTTTCGAATTAAGAATTGGGATGTGACCCACACAAATATCACAAAGTTTAGACTTAAAAATATCGTAGCAACCAGTTACATCCACATTTCCAAAGAGCTGGGACCAATCCAAATCAAACAAATTATTCAATTCAGCAAAATTACAGCAAGAGTAGTTAAAAGCAACCGTCTGACTAGCAGTCGGTAATTCAAAATATTGGTAAAATTCAAACTCCAAAACCATAGGGCTATGATGCTGATTTGGAGGGGAGATGTAACTGGCCGCATGAGAGAGCTTGAAAATTATATTAGAGCTACTAAATATTAAATCTAAAATTCGGTTTAACTCATTAAAATAACCATTGATTTGAAATAATTCAATACATATTAAATTATCAATTAAATATGATTCAGATAAAGTAGTAACATTTGATGGGGTGAGGAAGATATTGTTATCAATATCTTCCAGGAAATATTACATAAATTAAAGTCACCTAAAACACAAAGTTGGCTGTTTCCAATTTTCTCGTGGAGTGCCAGTATATTGTCAACATGTGCCTTGTATATGACATCACAGCTGCCCGGCGGAATGTAGGACACACAAATGTACAGCACACCACAGGTGCCATGTAATTTTACACAAAGCTGATCCAACAGGGAGTTGGCATCTAGCAGCGGATAAAAAGAAGCTCGAAGATATCTGCGCGCAGCTATCAGTACACCACCACTAGGGATGAAAAATGGAAATTTCAGATTGTACCTAATATCATAAAATAAATGTACCTAAATGGACAAGAATGTACCTAAAAAAAATATTTGTTTGTAGATTTTATATTTAAATTTTTATTTAAAAACTTGGATACAAAATATGTATGTGGATAAATATATATATATATACATATCTAAGCTATGACCAGAGAAATATCGCATTGTCAGCACATTCTAAATATAAAAGTTTTAATCCAAAAAATGTACATACATATGTTCACCTATTAATTAACTTACACTTATTATTCTTAACAACCTTTTCAAAAAATATAAATACATACATATGTAAGTAATGGTTTACTTATGACTATAATTAGGTGAAAAACTGAAACTACTCAAAAATACGTTAGACATACAGTGACTTTAACCAGCGTTCACAAGGTGGTTTTTTTTTAAATATATTCAGAATGATTTTAAGATAAATTTGTTTGCAAATTTAAAAAAAATATTGTTCATGCTATAACCATAACCATTAAAAATTTAGTCACTGTTTACGAAAATTATACACATTTTCATAAACATTTGAAACTTTTTAATCTGAAGATAAAGAAAATTTTTGGGTATGTATTTTTATATATTTTTTACTTTCTACTTTATAAATGTGGTTGTGGTTATAGCACACACAATATTTTTAAAAAATTTGCAAACAAATTTAACTTAAAAACATGGTAAATATATTTAAAAAAAAAACGCTTGTAAACGCTTGTTTAAGTCACTGTATGCCTAACATATTTTTGAGAAGTATCATTTTTTCACCTAATTATAGTCATTAATTAACCATTACATATAGGAATATAAATTTTATGATGTTAATAAATAAGTGAATGTTCATACTGCTTATTGAAACACTTATAAAATATACGTAAAACAATAACAAAAAAATTGCGCTTTGCGCTACATAAATTCATTATTTTTTTGAGATACAATTTCTTTGTACTTCAAAAATCTTTAATCAACTAATTGATTTTCATTTAAATCATTGTTTGTAACACTGGTTTTCAAAAAAACTTTAGCATCAAAATTGTAGCAACAGCTTTCGTTACATCTTATTAAATCTTTGGTTTGTATTAGTGCGGCACAAGTTCCTAACGTCAATTTATTTCTGGATTTTGTTTTTATTATATTCTGAATCGAAAAAATTCGTTCAACACAGGAAGAAGAATGCGGCAAAGAAAGCAAGCCTTGAGCAATACGAAATATATTTGAATACATAAATTCATTAATTTCATTTTTAGTTTTACTAATTTCAACCCAAAATTCTGAAATGGGTAAATTTTCAATTTTTTTTTAATTGTGGATGATCAGCTAACGCCCGATATTCAGCATTAATTGCTTCTGCCCTTTTAAGCTCTTTTTCTGGAAATAATTTTACAATTAAAGGCAAAATGCTGTTCGTATTTCCAGAAAGCACTTCTTTAGGAGCGAATGCCGGAAGCTCTTTTGTAATTTCGTTTTCAAAATCAATCCTATTTCGCAAGTCCTCACAAAATGTTGTATAAAATCTTAGAACATTTGCTTAAATTTCATAAGTTCTACATCTTTCAGACTTTGTTCAGTATACAAAATTTCGGTTTCTGTGCCACAAAAAATTTGTAATATGGGAATGTGGTAATGTATGGAAGAAGCGTCAATTTTTTCTTTTGAAATAAAATTGCGGCATATTTGTCTAAATAAAAATGTTAAGCGTGGAATTAGCACGTGAATGCGTGCTTCTTCGGCTTGCATTTCGACATTAACTCGTTAATAAGTTTGAGTACATACGATAAAAAAAGAAAATATAGTTTTATGTTCGTGTCAGAAAGGCTGTCTGAAATAAATTTGTTATTTTCGTTACCAAATCCAGATTCATAGTTGCATAGTCCAAAATAGTACTGTAAAGGAGTCCACTGTTCTAATATCCGATTAACCACCATCTGCAATGTAAGTATACATATGTACGTTAATATATTTATGAACATATGTTTATTAAGAAACCTTAACCTTATATAAAAGTTACCTGCGGTGAAAGCCATCGCGTGGAGCTGTAGCGTAAAATGACATGCAGTTCACTTCCAAACTCTTGTTGGAATTAAAAAAAATCAGCCTTTCGGCTTGCACTATGGCAAAAGTGATGATTAATGCTCGGCATAAGTTTCTCAACATCTCTGGGGAGCATTGAAGCAGCTGCTTCTGAAGATAAGTTTAAATTATGACAAACATCTCCGTTTATAAATATTTTTGGACAAATCGCTCTTAGTTTCGCTTGGACGCCATTGCGTTTGCCCATCATAACGTTACAGTTGTCTGCAGCAAACCCGAGTAAATTTTCTGTGGAAATGTTATGGTCCTTCAATACCTTCATCAGGCTATTAAAAATTCCTATCGAAGTAGAATTGGCAACCGATGCAAAATCTAAAAACCTGTCTCTGCAGTTTTGTGTGAAAATCCGTATAATAACTGCAAGATTTTTGTTCATGGACACATCTGTACTCTCGTCTATGATCACAGAGTAATATTGCGTATTAGCTGCATTGCAAATTGATTTGCAATTCTCTGGTCCGGTTATTGACGTTATTATTTTCTGCCCTTTTTGCCGATTCAAACACATTTTCGAAACTATTTTTGAGTCCTTCACTGTTTTTACGCACTGCGATAGATGGTCCAACGATGTAAAAGGTAGATTGTGTTCTGCCACAAACAAGCATAAACGAATTTCGAGATCTTTTGCAGAATGCATAATTCTATTTTCTTCACTATTTTGCTGAGTAAAGTTGGAAATTTTAATCGTTGATTTCGCAATATTTTCATTCTTCTTATGCAAATCAGTATTTGCATGGCGAAAAATATGGCTTAAGTTGCCGAAAATGGGTACGCAACACAATAAACACTTTTTACCCTGTTTAATATTTGGATCTTCTTGTAACCATGGATAGGTTTCTTTCCATTCCTTCCTAAAACGAATTTCAAATTTTTTCTTTTTGGCCGGGTTTTCATTTTGCCCCTCTTCGCCTTCATTATTGCTAAACGGAAGTGTCAACGAAACAAAAACCACTTGTAAATAGTAATACTTACTTTTCATCACAATCTGCTTCTTTAGTTATATTGTTTTGCCGAGTGAGCCACCTGAAACAAATAAATATAGATATTAAATAAATGCTGTACATGTTATTTTTTTTCGTTATTGAACTTACTTATCCATTTTTGTTGAATTGAAGAGACGCCCGAAAAACGCGCTTAGCCACACAACTTTTCATTTAGTTTTGTCTTCTTCTTTTGTATGTAAGATTCACAATAACGAAAAATAGAAAACATACAGAGTTGCATGTCGAAACAAAACATAGTTCTTGAAAATCTCGTTTGCGGTTACAGCCATTCAACGTACCGCATGCATTATTACAACAGGCAAAAGAAAAACTAAAAATGGATCTGACCATAAGCTGATTGTACCTAAAATAGAGAGAGTGTACCTAATGTACCTTTAAGTCCGCAAACGTCGGAAAAAGGTACAATTGTACCTATTTTTTCATCCCTGACCACCACCCCTACTAACACCAGTTTTAGCAAAATCTCTGTCTTTGCGAAAAACGTCAAAGAGAGCTGGATTAAAGAACTCCGCATCGAAAAAGTTAGCATTCAGCCAGATTTCTGTCAGAACGAAGCAGCCATAATCCAATTGTGAGCTGAGAATGTAGACAGATTCGGATTTTGTCCTGAGTCCCGAAGTATTTTTTTGATAGATACTTATTTTCCGATCACCAGAGGTGGAATGACTTTTTACTTTTTGGGATGCGGCTGGGCATCTTTTTGAAAAAAATCAAAAGGTCGGACAGCAACGTTGGAGGGCCAAATATCCGATGACAGAATTTTTGAGTAGTCAGATTCTGAAACTCCAAGCTTGAAATTAATGTGCTTAATAGTTTCCAAATCAGAATCCTTTTTGACCAGTTTATAGCATACAATTGTCTTCATATCGATAGCTGCATATTTAGCCACATAGCCAATGATGTCATCAGTCCTTACAGTAGGCAAAAACGATGATAAGTGCAGCCATTTGCGGCGAACAACAACTCCCAGCTCCGAGTTCTCATTTGACCCAAATACACACCGCCTATGTCTCTTATGAGTACGCTTTTTATCCATAGCGGACCACTGTGCATTATTTGCTTGCGCATTGTTAGTTGCGTTTTTCGCTTGTGCGTTGCTCAACCTAGCATTGTTCGCCAAAGCCGCAGCAGCGGCATACGTAGGCACAGCGTTAGCAGGCGGAAGAGAAGAAGCAGAAAAACCGATGTTATTACCAGGAGTTAGGCCTGGGTAACGGCGCAAATTTTTTGGCGCTGGCGCACTAACTCCAGCGTTACTGTCGGAATCAGCACAGTGTGTTGGCGCAATTGCGCCTCTTCAGGCTAAAGCTCATTTCCTTTATTGCTGCACGCTGCACCAAAGTGAATTAATACAAGGTGATATCGGTTGAGAAAAAACTCAAGTATACCCAAGTTCAAAACCCAAAAATACAACAAACCCATCATTTTCACATTCAGAAGGACCGCGATGAATTCTAGCAACACCACCTTGTATAAATTCGCCGACACCCGGTATGTAGAAACTAAAGTGTGTGTACATGTGCCGCATTATGTTGATTGGCGCCTTCAACGCACGACTTCATTAGTTTTAAAATAACATTCCTTCCATATGCTGCGGCAGTTGACCTTTTTGAAAGTAAACTTAGTGGCTGCGTAAGTGGATCTGAATATGTAGATCTGTGTATCTCTGTATCTGAATATCAATCTGGATTTGTACCTGCATCTGGATCTATATCTGAATATCTATTGGGATTTGTATCTCTAACTTTATCTAAATCTGTAACTGTAACTGCATCTGTATTTTTATACCCGAGCGCACTTGTGCACAAGGGTATTATAACTTTGTTCACATAACGGTTGTTTGTAACAGGCAAAACGAATCGAGATAGATATAGACAAATGTATACATAAATGATCAGAATGAAAAGAGAAATCGATTAAACGGTGACTGTCTGTCCGTCCGTCCGTCCGTCCGTCCGTCCGTCCGTCCGTCTGTCCGTCCGTCTGTGCACACGATAACTCGAGTAAAAATTAAGATATCTTAACGAAACTTGGTACGTGTACTTCTTTCAGGCGTAGGACGGATGGTATTGAAAATGGGCAAAATCGGACAATAACCACGCCTACCTGCCATATAACGGTAATTTTCAGAAATACAAAAACTGCGATATTTTAGTAACTACTGGAGATTATTCACTCAAAATTGATATTTACAATAAACTTTAGATAAAATAAGAATATTATAAATTTTTGGAAAATGGGCGTAGCAACGCCCACTTACTGTATATCTTGGTAACCGCTTTACCAATTTCTTCCAAACTTGGCACAGTTGGTGGTCTTCGAACATCATACCAAATGGCCGAAAATTTTTAAAATCGGACGATAACCACGCCCACATCCCATATAACGGTAATTTCGAGAAATACGAAATCCTCGATAAATCAGTAAATATTAAAGCTAATTTATTCAAAATGATGGTTGCAACAATTCTTTGCCAGGAAATACGTTTATGATAAAATTTTGGAAAATGGGCGTGGCTCCGCCCACTTATGATCACGTATATGTATCTCGCTAACCGTTCTAGCAATTTGTACCAAACTCTGTATGGTTATTGTGCTTGCCACATAAAAGTAAACCATTGAAAATTGTTGAAATCGGACTAAAATTACGGCCGCTTTTCATATAACGGTAAATTACAGAAATGCTTGAAATTTCAATATTTTGAAATTTAAAAGTATGTTTGCACGCACGTGTGTGTGTGTTGAACGCAAAGTTGAATAATGCAAACACTGCTTAAGGACGCTAGTTTACTTAAAATTTATACACGCCGGCTTATCATGTAGCGGTAGCTTTCGGAAAGGTGGAAAACATATTTTTAATACTTGCGCCGGGTATTTAATGTTCGGCTCCGCCCGAACTTAGACTTTCTTACTTGTTTTTTACGTTTTTGTGTGTGTATCTGTATCAGAATCTGGATCTGTAGGTATCTGTACTTGGATAAATATCTGCATTGCATCTGTATCTGTGGCGGATATTAGCCAATGATTTTCAAAAATGGGATTTAAAATTAAATGCTTAGCCTGTAGATGAAACCCTATTCCTTACGTTTTCGAAAAGAGTTGCCACCTTTTAAAAAACTAATTTAAAATTATTTAAAAAGATGAATCAATTTTTACAATATGGCTATCAACCGAAATCGTTTTGAAAAGGCCATATTTCTTAACTAAAAGTGGGAGTGTTGCCACCTGTATAAAATTTTAACTAAGGGAATTAGATAATAGAAATATATATATATATATATGAAAAACTTTGAGGGGTTGCCACCTGTTTTAAAATACGGATTTTTTAACTCATACACAAGCTATATAAAAGAGTATTAAGATATCTTTAGTTTACGCATTTCGATTTTTTTTTGGTATTTGAAGAGGGTTGCCACCTGTTTAAATGGTGAGACTCACATTATTTATTGAGTTAAGTGTATCATGAAAAGATGAGTATCAATCGGAATAGGCTTCAAAAGGCTTTTAATCGGTTAAGACGTCTTCATAAGGTAATCTGAAGTTTGCCTCCTGTGCCACACGCCTTAACCGTGTTCAATCGGGGCCAAAATTTATATGTGATATCTTGGACTACATATAGGAGCATCGACGTAGGGTTTGAGGCTAAGGAAATCTTATGTAAAAATTTGCTTCCAACATTTAAGGAGCACCCTAATGTACACTGAACCAAAAGTACAATGTTTTTTTCAACCAAGTTATTGCTTGTGATTCAAGTTGAACATTAGAAAACATTTCGTATGTCTGGCTGTTAGCTTCCAGCAGGTTCGGGTTCGAATAATTTCGATCGAGAGCTGTTCAGAAGTGCGAGCCAAAATGCTTCCATCTTAGCCTCGCGAAGGTTAGACAGTCTAAAAGAAAGTGTGGAGATAATGCCACTTCATCTTCCTCTTGATAGCTGATACCAAAGGAATTCCTAGTCTCACCGCACAAAGGCCTGTCAGAACCCCCACCGCTAGCCTTTGAGAGGTAACGTATTATAAAGTGCCCTATAAAAATATTTTCTGCAGCAGAGAAACGTCTTCTTTTCCTTTTTTATAACACAAAAGACCGGGTTTCCCTTAGCCTAATAGCAGCTCGTGCTGCGAAAATTCTGTCTGCAATATCCGCAGGCGCCGTGTTCAACATATGTACATATGTTAAGCGCCAGTGAGGGTTGCTTCCTAATGCTCCGCTAATTCTTGTTTTACAAGTGTAGCCTTCTCTAGTGAGTTCCACCAGACAAGGGCTCCATGAAACAATATAGGCTAGAATCTGGTTTCCTAGAGCTAATGAATTAATTTCAATTTTACCAATAGCTCCCCTACAGCAGTACCAGGCAACCGACAACTTTGCTACCCTTTCCTCAATGTTAGGCTTCCACGACAGCCGCTGTTGATCGCCCACCTAGATACCTGGTTCAGGTTCTTAAGTCAGATCGAAAAGGATGTATAGAAATGGTCCCTTAACCAAAAGTTCCACATCATCTACATAGACGATCACCCGACAGCCCACTTTTCCCAGTTCCTCTAGAAGGTCATTTACAACCGGAGTCCAGAGATCCTATTGACTCTGCACTGTGTGCAGACGCTCACCCATTCCGCCACGACAGTTCTGTCACGAAGTAAGCTGTAGATAAGCCTTATTAGGTTGGTTTCAACCCCTAGATTATGAATATACTTGACTATTACCTCTGGAGTGACATTGTTGAATGCCCCTTCGATATCGAAGAGAGCTCCTACTGCATAATCTTCATGTGTGAAGGCTTCCTCTGACCACATTACACACATTACACATGTTCAGGGTGGTAATCACCGACCTTTTCTTGCAATAAGCATATTGAACTCTTGAAAGACAGTCACGCGAAATCGCGTTTCTTATGTACAGGTCTATCAGTCTCTATAGCGCTTTTAGCGAAAGCGTTTTTAGCAAAAACGAAAAATCCATAGGGGGGCATGTGACGATCGTCCAGAAGATCGGAGAAGTACAGGACCTGGAGGGGAGATTCTGTAACCAGTTAGCGACAATTTTCGAATCACTGTCACACTTTTTGATGCAAAAACATTTATGTCATACGAAGTACAAGAGCGAAAAGAAGTACAGTTTGTCACATTATGTATACCCGATAAAAATATGAATTGGAAAATCCAGG